GTAGGCTTTTTTGGTGTAATTGCTCCACAGGTTGCACGTGTATAGTGTCTGACAAAAAGTTTTAAAGAGGGTGATTTTCACCTCATGAGAGCATCGTGCAAACCTACGGGCCAGCATGCTACACCGTACCGCCAGTGCCCTGCGTTCCCTCTCCAAGTCAACGTCATCCGATAAATTTTCCGTGACCCAGTGACCCAGATACTTGAACTTGGTCACTTTTTCCAGTTCAGTTCCGTTTAGAGTGACTGGTGGCGTCGAATAGGTTTTGGAACCTGATTTGAACACCAACAGCTCACTCTTTTTAACATTGTATCTGAGCCCATGGGCCTCGGCATACCTTTCACATACATTGGAAAGTACTTTAAGAGCGCTGATTGAGGGGCTCAACAGCACCATATCGTCTGCATAACTTATGTTATTAACAAAACAACCATCTACTGAACAGCCAACACCAGTGCTACCGAGCTCCTCCATCAGCCCATTTATGTACAAGTTGAATAGGTTCGGAGAAGTCAGCCCCCCCTGTCTTACTCCACATTTCATCTGGTATTCCTCTGAGGGCTTCCCAGCCCACCTAACAAAATTTACTTGATTTTCATACCAGTATCTAAACAAATCTGTCAATTCTTTAGGTATACTCGTATTATACATTTTATTCCATAGGACGCTATAGGATACCATGTCAAAAGCCTTAGACAGGTCCAGGAAGCATGCAAAAACAGGCGTCCCCCTATCCGTGTAGTACCTAACAGTGTGCTTAAGACACAGAATAGCTGATTCTGTAGACAGACCAGGTCGGAAGCCGAATTGCATCGTGTAGCTTCACATGTTGCCCTAGGTATTTGTTAAGCACACTGTCCAGCACTTTGGCCATAATTGTTGCTAGAGAAATTGGCCTATAATTACTCGTCTCTGAAGCATCACCTGTCTTATTTTTAATTATAGGTACGACAACTGTCTTCATAAGATCAGGAGGCAGATACTTGTGCCTAATGCAAAAGGTGAACAGCATTGATAAGACCCTAGGAAGGTGGACACCTGCATGCTGCAGATGTTCGATGCTGAGACCTAATATTCGTGATAGACTAGCATTGAGCGTTGGGAGTGCTTTCCTCGCCTGTCTACAAACCGTAAGGGTGGTCCGTGTATTATTATGTGAAGTTTTTGTACCTTTGTGTATAGTTCTTCTGGACCATTGGTAGGGGAGGGACACTATGGGTTCTGGTTCTACAGCGTCCGTCTCCGACCCTTTTCTGGCTAGTTCATCTGCTGCGTCATTGCCACGTGAGCCGCTGTGTCCTTTAATCCACTGTAGAGTTAATTGGCTTTGTATACATACCTCCATGAGTGCTTGATGGCATTCATAAATGAGCCCTGAGTTTATGTCATAGCTATTCAGTGCTTGAAGTACTGACATACTGTCAGAGAGTATTCGAATGGAGTGGTTCTTTACTCTTCTCGCTATGATTGCTTCTGCCGCCAACTTGATACCCATGCATTCAGCCTGGAATACTGTGGTGTGGTCACCAAGCGGTGTTGATATTCTGATATTGAGGTCTTCTGAGTATACCCCAGTTCCTGTTCCTTAATTTGTTTTAGATCCATCAGTGAAGACGCGGACCTCTCTGGGGTTCAGTCCTTCATTGGGATCTTCAAACAATTGTTATAGGAAAATTAAGTTATAGGAAATAGTGAGCGTATTATGCAATAAAAAACTTTTCAAAACACTAGGTCAAAAAAACAATTGAAAAAATCCAATTTGTCGCCAAAAACGTTATTCTATATAAATATATGGAATGTGTTATATATGACTAGAAAGGTGGTTAAATTCCCTATCATATAAATATAAGGTATATTTTAATGACCTACCTAACTTATGTTGGAAGAAATAAAATTTTCATTACAAAATTGAGGGTATTTCTTCACGCCAACCACATTTCACACAATGATTTCACTGTATTCTATTGATAGACGGCACAATACACATACACAATATTGAAGTACAGTAGTTTACGCGCTCATTTTAATTGTTTTTATCATTTCACAACACGGAATTACGTCATAATGTTTATTTATTTGTCAACAAACAAATGTCGGCCATGACCGGCCCAAGCGCGAATTACGACTATTGTATTCAGGGTTGCCAATTTGTGGGGAATTCCCCAAATTGTGGGGAGTTTCAACTAGATTGGGGATTTTGTGGGGAAATCCCCATATTGTGGGGAGTTTCCACAAAATTGGGGATTTTGTGGGGATTGGCGCTATGTGAGGAAAATGTGGGGATTCTAACATTTTATCATTTTGTTTAATCTATCAATTGCTGATGCATCGCTAGTTTGATCGTTACTGTTAGAAACACTGTGATGGACTATATCGACGTGTTTTTCAACATCGCACATCACTCGTATTATTAACAAGCAGCTTAAATAGAATTATTATTAGAGCACTTGGTTCTGAATTGTAAAATTACCAGTAAAATTACTCAACACGCACCGTTGAGTTCGCGATTCTTTCTCCCGCTTAGGCCGGTCCCCAGTATGAAGCAAAACTAAATCAGCAATTGATAAACAAGGCCGAGCAGTTGGTACTTCCACACCACAACTTACCACTTGTGAACTTTAAATATTAAATATAGGTTGAAACTCATTGATTATTTCTAACGTTAACATAGTGTCACCAAATGCACAACAAATAATCAATTTACTTAATTTTGTGAGGCAAAGAAAAATGATTTTTTATTATTATTAAAATAAATAAACGATTTAAGGTTATCTCATTTTATAATTAGTTTTACTTTTTACATTCTGTTTACATTCACAGCAAACGTAATAGATTATTACATTAGATTATTACATTTTTAGTTTTTCAATTCTTTATTATATTTTAAAGCGATATACGATAAGCGATCTCTAATAAATAATGAAAATTCGAGATGTGGGGAATTTGTGGGGAATATGAACTTTGCTCTCCCCGAATTTGAGGATTTTAACCGTGATTTTTGGGGATTTTGAACAATTGGCATTGGCAACAATGGTTGTATCGAATGATGTGACTTAATACCCAAGGTTTACCACCTCATCTTTTAATATTCTTTACTTTATCCATTTTGCATCAACTCTTACAACGTTCAATAGAGTAAAATCTCTAATTGTAGTATTTTTTTAAATAAAATCTACTGAAGACGGGCTATAACGTGTTTGTCAATAAGTACAAACACTACAGAATGTCTAGAAATTAAATATATCTAGAATAAACTTAAGAACACTAGTTTTTAGAGTATTAATAGACTTTACTGGATGTGTATAGATCACTTTTTCTAAAAATAATCAGTTGGTCTACAGATGAACTTAAAATAAGGACTATAAGAGTAAATCTTAAGAGAGATATCACTTAAGTTGTTTGGCATTAAGAAAGTATTAAAATGTTGACTTGAGTGAAATAAGTCTATAAGAACAATTTTCTAAAACCATTTATAGAGAACTATTATCTAAATCAATACCATATTAAGACTGTTTATAGTTTTAAGGCGTATAAAGTGTGCTCCTTGGGAAATATATAGGAGGCGAACAAAGGAATTGGTGTAGCATGTACTATTGATGTGTTTCGCGTACAATTCTAGTAAACATAGTAGTACCGGGGTGTCACCGTATATGGTTCTGTTCGGTAGAGAATCCTTATGTGCGTAAGATATAGAATTGAGGATTAATTGTGTCAATTGTGTTGCGGAGAATTTGCAAGATAAGATTTCAAAACAAGCAGCGTTGATCGATGTGGTTAAAGAACGAATAGCGAGGGCGCAGATAAAACTGAAGCGAAATTATGATAAGAAAGCCAAAGTAATTGTGTATCAGCCGGGAGACTTGGTAATGTTACATTGTCCTAGGAGAGTTTCCAACAGAAGTGTAAAGTTAGCTAGATTGTGTAAAGGGCCGTATAGGGTAGTAGATCGGTTGAGTAGAGTTGTGAGAAGAATAAGAAGAAGAAGGTGTAAATAGGAGTAGATCCGGTAGGCAGGATCTGGTTCATGTAAATAGAATGAAAAGGTTCTATAGTAGATAGTTTAATGATTTTTCAGTTTCTAGTATATAATTGCTTGTATTTTATTTTAGGGGTTTGTTCCTTTTTCATATAGAGAAAACAATGAGGCGTTGATGTTGTTGACAATGTATCTCGACGTTTATTTTGATGGGAGTTGTATTTTTCCGGCGAATGCAGACTCAAAAAGGACGGGAGGAGAAGATTACTGGACTTGGATGAATATAACTTATTTTTTATTTTATGGATATATTATCCTGTGTATGTGCATAGTTGTTGGTCATTCGTCCAGATGAACAGGAACTGTCTGCATTCGATGGAAAATACATTTGTTTAATTATTAGAAATCCTCCATAAAATATATCGCCATATCATATTTGTGTTAGGAAATGTTATTGTAGTTAGGATAATTCGTGTGTCCTTTTTGAAAATCTGATGGAACGTGGATAGCTGCAGAGCGAGGACTAAGGCAGCTGGGAAGTCAATATTGATGTTCCTCAGTGGACGCCCGATGGGTGCTCAAGCCTATGTCGTCGTCGTAGCAGCGTGCACGTTGAAGATTGTTTAGTGATGCATTTAGGAAGTTTTAGTATTGATGTTTAGAGATTTTGTTAGGAGCGTTCAGCCAAGCTAGGGTAGCTGAAATAAAGTGTTAGAGTTTAGATAGGATAACTAAATAGCTAGGATAGCTAACGAATAATTGTATTTTGAATTGTTTTATTAGGATGTGGTCATAGTCTGTCCTGTATAGTTAAATAGAGAACCTCGGAAGTCAGTTTAAAAGTACTAAACGAACTTCACTAAATTAGTTCCAATCGTAATATTAAGCTGTGCTTGGACTTTTCGTTACTCTGGTATTCAAGGAAATTTTTGATTGAAAACCAGGCAATAGGAGTTATTGTTGTCGGCACATTTTGTGACGTCACATCGTGCTGCCGGTTCATTTGAAACCCTCTGTCCCGCAGGCGCGTCTGCTGCCGCAGTGCCGTTCCGCAACGAGTGCCCCGTGTGCCGCAAGACGTTGGCGACGCCTTCGGGCCTCCAGCGGCACCTCGCCAACCACTCCAGGGAGAGTTTCGCCTGTCGCGTCTGTTACAGGCAATTTTTTAAGCAGGAGTCGCTTGATAAGCACTTCAAGGTACGTCATAGTAACTAAGGATCATACTATTAAATAAGCTATTTTAACCGACTTCAAAAAAAAGGAGGGGTTCTTAGTTGGACTGTTTTTATTTTGTGCGTATGTTACACAATTACTCCGACATTTGTGAACCGATTTCGACAATTCTTTTTTTTTTTGTTGGAAAGTGGGTATGTAAGTACCTTAGTAGTGGTCGCATGCAATATCGAAAATAAAATGTCCACCTCTGTGGTGGGCGAATTAGGGGATGAATCTGGTTTATTGGATAAACTTAAAAAATTTGAGGTCTGTCTTTTATAAAATATTTGTAATTATTTTATAAGACACATAAGAGTTCACAAACCGTTTATCACAGGTATGGATTGAAGAATAATAAAATAATGATTTTATATGCAAAATAAAGAATTTTAATTCATCATATTTTGCATATAAATTCTTTATTGCATACAGAAAAGACACTTAAAACTAATGTTACAAACGACATATACAAAGGTGAGCTCATCTCTAGATGAAATCTCTTCCAGCCAACCTTAGCCGTGGTGTAAAAAAAATCCTGCTGGACCAATTTTATTGTACAATAAATTTTTACTAAAAACAAAGATATTGAAGCAGATCATTTTAAACGGCGATAACTCTGTGCGGTAAAAAAAAAGAAAGCAAAACGCAGGAGCGGAGAAAAAGGAGATAATTAACCAAAATAAGTGAATAGTTAATAAGTAGTAAATATCTTGTTTTATTTTCAGGTTCACGAGAAACCGTCCAGCTACGCTTGCGACCAGTGCGCGAAGACTTTTAAATCGAAATCCAACCTTCATCAACACCAAAAACTTCACTTGAAGGTACTACCGTACTACTGCAAAACATGCGAGAAAAGTTTCGTCGTCAACTGCCACTATAAAAGACATTTGGAAGCCGGAAAATGCGTGAAACCGTCGAGTTTAATTTGCCTTTTATGCAACAAAAATTTCAGCAGAGACCTTTTACTAAAAACGCATTTAAAGAGCCATGAGTTGGACAGACCCTTTCGCTGCGACACATGCGACATGACGTTCAAGTACAAAAGCACTCTTGTGCGACACATGCAGGTGCATAAAAATCTTCGCCCTTACAAATGCAAATACTGCGACAAGACTTTCACCGCCTTTGGCTTGATAAAGCCGCACCTGCGCAAGCACACCGGCGAGCGCCCCTACCCCTGCGACATATGTTTCAAAGGCTTCAGTCACAAACAGAACATGGAACGGCATAAGTTACGTCACAACAAAGTCAAACAATTGATTTGTGAAATTTGCCATAAACAATTCCCTAGAGAGAGTCGTTTAAAATACCACATGCGAACTCATTTGATCGACAAATTGCCTTTCAAATGTCCGCTTTGTCATAAATGTTACTCCCATAGACAAAATATTCAAAGGCATTACAAGAAAAAACATCCGAACGAAACTTATGAGTGCAAAGAAACGGACGCCAGTGTGGCCAGTATCATTTGGGAGGCGTTAAAAAAAAAGCAACAGGAAGAGAATGTTTACAAAGTGTTGCCAGCGGAGAAAGACGGGTGCAAAGTGTTGCCCGTTGAAAACGTTGAGGTAAAAGTGGAATTACAGGAAAGTAGTGATGAAGAGTTTTTGTCGGAAGTACGGAATAGAAAGTGTCAAAATGTTGAAACTATTATTCCATAAATTTTATATAATATGCACAAGGTCGCTAAGTGTCGTAGAAAATTTATTTTTTATTCTTTCCAAGGTATATTTATACATGGACAGATGAACAAATCACTACTAAATCTAAAAGATGTATACGGAATGTTTTTTAAATGGGATAGTATGGGGAAATCCGAAACCATAGAAGAGACAAGCAAACTGTCTTAGGAACCATTAAGTCTTTTTTTGTGAACTTAATTATGGCATACACGGGACAACTCTAATTACTAATTATACACAAAAAAGTATTTTGAACATCGAGGGATCAATGCCTCTGTAATTATTGGCACATGAGACGACCTGCAATATGCATTGCGACATTATGCGAATGTGTGCGTCCATACACAGCGCGCGGCATGCGATCACACATCAAGCTGCGCTGCTAAGTTTGTATGGAGTTAATGGTAACTCGAATAAGACGAGTATGGACTCGGTCTTATTATAACACCCTATTTATTATCGCACTGTATTATTTGAAGTACAACAACTAACGTCACCAAAACATGCATACTTATAAGGAGCAAAACGAGAGCATAGCCACTTGGTTAGCCAACGCCATCTAGCTGTACTATCGAAATTACATATTATGTATGACAAAAATAATATACTTATTATTAATTTATAAAATTAACCCTAAATTCAAGCTCTCGATTTATGAGAAAAACTTCTTCTATTTCTAAAATTGTATCATTTACGACTAGAAATATTAATACCATTGAAAAATGTGTAAGAAGTAAAATTAAAATTTTCCACGCTTCGTTATATGTATAGTAGAATGAAAGGAACTATTCGTGTCTGAAAAGCCACAGATATTGTTTTCGTTACATGTAAGAACTTAGTTTTATAACGTGTAATGTAACAAGAAATGCTTCATACCTTTTGACAGTTTCTTTAGTTAGACCGTCTGTCGCCATCTAGCGAGCTCAATATGGACTACTGGAACTACACTAATCGATTAACTTGAATGCGAAATCGAGAATCGATATTCTTAGAATATTTTTTAGCCGAGTTTGAATTAATGAGCTCGTTATGCGGTCTACTCACTGTCAGTACAAATTAGGACGTGTGGCAGGCCTTCAGTTAGGGAGTTTATGTCTAAGGAGATTTAGCCGGACATGTTTGGATGGAACAGTTGACGGAAACATTAATTGTATTGTTTTTATTTATTGTTGTTATTACGATAGACTGAAAATAAATGTTATTAAATATGAATACAAATTGTCAAAATTATTTATATAAACTTAGCAGTATTTTAAAAGTGAGCGAACAAAATCAATTTGTGTAGAAAGTATTTTCTATTTTAAACCATTTTGTGTTAATGTTATATTAAAACCGGAAATAAATAAAATAATCTTTTTTTATTTTCCCCAAACTAAACGAAAAGTACGATTTAAAAAACCCCAAAGAAATTAGCGAACTCTAAAGAGCCAGCAAAGTCATCATCTGCCAACAAACTACTGACCCAATGCGTACAAACTCGATGGGGTCTACCTTTAGTAAAGTTAGTTCCTGTGTCCTCCTTCCTTTTGTTATGTATAAGCTCAAGTGACGGGATGAACAAGTCGTGCGGTGGTAAGATACACGCCTATCCATAACCATGACAATCGCAGTGCCACTCACCGTTATAAATCGCAAAGATCTGAGGGGCCACTGCTCCTGTCACCCTGAGACATAAGTTGACAAGTCACATGTGCCTGTGAATTTCACCACTTCTCTTAGCGCCTAGTTACACGAGGCGAAAGTAATCGCGCGGCCGCCGCGCGGCATTAATGGCGAATTTGAATTCTATTTACTAGGCAACAACATTTAATTCCCTCTGAATAATACCTGCATCCGCGCGGCAGGCGTGTAGACCAAATTCAAGCCAGCCTCGCCCGCGTGCCGGGGACGTTCATTTAAGTTAAAACGTAAAGCTAAACAAATAGAGCGTATTTTGCCATGGCAATTAGACGCACGCGGCAGCAACGCGGTCTCGTGAGCGCGATTAAATTCGTGTCGACTAAATGTGCGCTAACCCTCAAAAACCGGAATACGTTAATTCTCACTTTACCGCTTAGCGGCAGAAATAGGTAGGTGGCAATACTTCCCTGGACGAACTCTTTCACAAGGAGCTATTGCTTCCAATCATCATCTTCCTGCGCCATCAGCGTTTGAGCTAGTCTCATCTGTAAACCTACTGGTTGAGATCAATTCCATACACCCAAACACGACAGTTCTGTTCTAAGCAGTTGAGCATTTGGGTAGTCTGCAGACTGACCCTGTTGCAGCTTCGTGGCATCGTAACTCAAGGTTACCACATTATTGTAATAATAATATCTAATAACACACACACTCATAGCCCTGCACTAGGGAAACCCTGTATCGCGGACGCCATGGACACACATAGGTAGACAACCACAAATTACTCCCAAACTCACGAGAGAAATAAAGTAGGCCGTACAAATAATATCGGAAGCGAGAACTTTGGGCGTTCTAATGGATGGTTCCCTTCAGTTTGAAAGACATTAAAGGTTCTATATCGCGTTAGAAAATGTATTAATGTGGACTTACATATAAAACTTTGCGACTCCTTACTCCTTTCGAAGTTAACTTACGCTCAGTCTGTATTTAGAGGCTGTCTGCTTGTGCGCACAAAAAATCTTATCCAGCGCTTACAGAATGCGTGTGCGAGATTTTGTTTCCCTATTCCACGTCGCGCACATGTCACTCCTTTTTGAAATAATGTAAGTATGCTTAAAATGGAAGTCCGACGGAAATTACATTTTGCTTCTTTGCTATTTGGAGTCATGAAGAGCAAGCAGCCGTTATACTTACATGACAAGCTAAGTTTTTCATCCATGCATGTTAGACATCCATCTCATCTCGTTTGCCCCCGTCACAGAACAGCGCGCTTTCGAGGTAGCTTTCGCTATGCTGCCTCGAAATGCTAGAATAATATACCTCCGTCAATCAGAACCGCTTCCTCGTTGTTTGTATTAAAAAAATACTGAAAGAGTATCTGCAAATTCTTCAAAAATATCCATCGTAGCTGTTGATGTGCCGGGGACATATGCGTTTTAGTTTAATATTGTTCGTCTGTTTAATTGTAATCAAACTTCTCAATAAATTAATGAAACCTTATTTTATCAAATTAAATATATACACGTTCCTATTTAATAATATTAATTTTATTAATCGGTAACTACATTAATTGTATCCTAATGGAATAGACTGTTCATGTTTTGCGTTTAAATTATTATAATTATGTGCTTGCGTCATCCAATGTCTTTAGTGTCGCTACCATGTTCCGTGTCACGTGTGTTCTGTCGTCGTAGCTCTTGAATGTGAGACGACAACACGCTGAGTGGGTCACGGTTTCCTTGGCAGCGCAGCACACACGCTTTGTACTCTAAATATTACATGTATTTAGTTACAAATCCTTAGGTTATCATTACTATTATTATAAAATTCAATTCAAAAAAAGTCATTCATCTCCTAGTTTGTCACCCTCAGAAGTTGATTATTTTCTTCAAATTTAAATGGGACCACTTCACGAACCGGGAATAAGGTTTATTTATGATCTACATATAAATAGCTAAACTGATGCTTAAACAGAGCTAATATCCGTCGCTATTAAATTAGCATACCTACAGGTTCCAAACTTATAACTCCGCCTTTGCATCGGGAGCTAAGCAAAGGTTGCAAGATTATTATTTCCACATCACACATCTCAAACCAGGTTGTATACACTTTGTGAAGGAGCACTCCGTTGTATATTTAACCGACTTAAAAAGGAGGAGGTTCTCAATTACTCTTACTTACGGCATTAGAGTACCGATTTTGATTATTCTTTTTTGTTGGAAAGAGTTGAAGAAAATATTTCACTATCGAGTTCTTAGGTTTTCGCGATTGTTACACATAGGAAATGAAACTCTTTTTCCGGATTTAAATCGCGTATAATTGTTTTTTCAAACGCGTATATTTGTTTGAAGAAACAAATATACGCGATTTAAATCCGGAAAAACAGTTTCATTTCCTATAAAATATTTCACCTCTAAGGGTGGCAAACTAGGGGATGAATCAGGTTTCGCGTACTTTCCGGTAACCGATTTCAATTAAACTTGGCAAATAGTTGTAATTCCACGAATTTTTGAGGTCGGTGTTACAATGAATAAAACAAAACAGTATAAGAAATGACACCAAGATTTATTTCACGATAAAATACAAAGTCACAGATACGACGCTTCGTCACAATCGCATTGAGTGCGAATACATGTCAATTAGAATATGGTTACAGCGACTTTCACACATTTTTTGTAATTGTAGCAAGTTAGAAGAAAAATTTATATTAACCACAATTTGAGTGCTTAGAAGTAAACTCTCAAATTGTGGCTAGTATCGATTTTTTGTCAGCGTTACACCCAAATCGCACTTGTTCAACACACCAGGCCAAGTTCACGGAGAGCAATGCAAGTACTACAGTCGTTTTATTTGTTGTTATTTTTTACGTATGTAAGTAGTTAGACAATACAAAAAATTGTGCGCAGATAAGCACTTAGTCGGTAAATATTTATTAATAATAATTACGGTTTGTAAAAACACGTGATTAATAATTACAGAAAATCCATTTACTGGTAACAGGTGTCGGTATAAAGCACCCAAGAATACAAAATAAACTATAAAATAACTTACGGACGGATAACACTAAATAATTTAATATAAAAACTTTGTTTTCTACATCAAAATTTGTACCTCAAAATAAAATTTATAAAAAATACCCTTATTTAGTGGATGGGAGTTAATAGCACTTATTTGTATTATTAATATGTTTTAAAACAAATCGATGCTGATAAACAATAACGTGTCAACCCATAAAAATTCGAAAATTGAGATATTCATTCCAAATTATAGCTTGTCGTCTCGTCTATATTTTATAAATGTAAACTAAGTTATTTGAAACCTCCGAATAATAATAAATGATAAAAACAGCTGACATAAATCTATTAGCCATAACCACAAAAAAATGTTTAGGCGTCATTTTCAAACCAATGCCCATGTTGGTTGACACGCTATTGTTTATCAGCATCCAACTGATAAAACACTACTTCGAAAGAAAAATTCAAAAGTGTATAATAGGATGTGGGTAGGCCAAGTTGTAAGGATTATATTGATTGGTAGTAAAGAGTGTATTTATGGAAAATGTACGCTTCACTTTGTTAAGAGTATTTTTTATCAAAAAACAATAAAGCCTCCTTATACTTTGCCCTGCTTTATGAATTATAAATTAGAAAGTATAGAAGGAGAAATGCAAATTAATACATGTGACATTTTTCTAAAAAGAAAAATACATTTGATTGAGTTTTAACTAAATTGAAGATACAAAAAGCATCAGCTATTTCTAGAACAAAGAAATGCCTTTCCTAATGGTACAAAGGTACATTTTGTACAATAATACGTACGCAAGGCGGTTATATGCCAAGTCTTAGCTTAAGATTAAAATAATATTTTTTACACTTACTTAATTTTTTAGCTATAATATCAGTTGAAAGCACACACGACATATTCTATACTAATTCATAAATTGAGATTTTCTCCATGTTTTTAATTAAGAGTTTGAAAAAAGGGAATATGTTAAAAGGTGCTATGAATTATGCAATTTTAAATGTTTTATCAAAAATTTGTCCATAATTGTTGATTTTTGTAGTTAGTACTTTTTACAATTGATTTGTTAAATTTATTTATTGTAATATAAATTCCGTAACAACTCGTGTTACGTGCTAATTTGTTCAAATTTCCAACGAGCAGTGCGCGGCCAAGTTCTCTTTCAACATATCCCTTCGTTCCTCTTGTGACTATAGAATACATCAAAAGCTCTCAAGTAAGATGCTACCTCATACTACACGAATATTTTAAAAATAATCATAATAAATATCTTTGTCGGTGGACAAACATTTTAAGATATTTTGACATTTTGTGTGATGTTTTGTTATTTTATGTTTTGTACACGGCCCATTCAGTTTCTTTTAAGGACGGACAAGCAAATAGGCGACATTTTTACCGAACTATTTTATTAGTGGACGCTATTGGACAATTATGATAAAATTCCGCGTTCGTTAAACCTATAATAATTTTACGTCAAAAATCCTGTTATAAACATTCAAAAAATATTGTAAAGCAATCACAAGTATCAAGTGCACTTAATATTTAATAAATCGTTATGGCATCTTGCCATATTTGTCATAATTCTAATTAGAAAGGTGTATGATAATCTGAAGAGATATAATAAAACTTATTGGGAACGACACAAAAGTGTCAAACATTTTTATCAACTTTTGATCTGCGTTGAAATATGGTGGTACAATTAGTGCAGCGAGGTCAAACGAAATATCTCTGTTAGTTTTTTTAAAGTGAACCACTCATTCATTTTATTCCATTTTTTGTCACCATCGGTTGCACTACGCTTTACTGCGTAACTTGATTAAATTAGCCAAATGGATACGTATTCGTTTCAGAAGGCTGACTTATTTTACTCTTTGCTTTATATTCAGTGGCTAACATTACCCTTTGTGTAAGTAAAAAAATTGCCCGTCATTGCCCTCAGAGTGTTAAATCTACACATAGCCTATTCCTTGTTTTCCTTAGGAGGTTGTTCGGTGTACACGATCTCGGCGTACTCAGTGGACGGCGGCGGGGGTTTCGCCGCTGGCTGTTCGCCTAGCGCCAGTTCAGCGTAAACTACGCCTTTCTTTTCTTCTGACAGCGGCTGAAAAGATGCAATGCATAAAGGAATATAGCTAAATCATGGTAAAATAACAAAGGTTCACAATTCGACTGTATTTTTTTGTATGTATGTTACATTTGCATTTGTGAACCGATTTTGTTGATTATTTTTTGTTAGAAAGAGAATACCTCAGTATTGGTCCCATTTAAATTTAAAGACAATATTCTACCTGTAAGGATGGCAAACTGAGTCCGGTTTTTTTTTGTAAAAAGTTATAATTATGACATGCACTGTGATGATTTGTACCAGCAATTACTGAAAATTGCGGGTTGAATGGTGTGAATTAAAAAGAGAGGTGCTACTAACATTGAGACTAACCTTTTCGTCCCCCTCCGCGCCCTGCGCCTCCGTGGCCTGCACCTTGTCCCTGGCCTTGGGCAGGACCCCCCGCACCCGGGCGCCCAGCGCGGCCAACCGGCCCTGTCGCTCGCGCGCGCCGCCGCCCGCCGCGCTCTCCGTGTCGCTACTGACACAACACACGACATCACTACACACGACATCACTACACCAACCCCTTTAGGGCCAGGCCTCTAGGGGTTCGCAATTAGCGACCGGACACTGAGCTGTGTCCACGTCCGTTGCCTGGGCGATAGCGCAGCTTTCGATAATTGTACTTATTTATGGCCACACAGTTCTATCCTCTTCTCTTCAGCGCCGATTCCATCCGCGCAATCCGAATAAACCCTGACCTTAGCCTCATCACGCCTGTTACCTACGCGCTATGCAGCAAACACGGACTACGTTAATCATGAGTTAACGTCAAATGATTATCACTAATTACAGGTTTCTTACCACGGTATGAGCAGAGAACAAAAAAGTAACGGGAATGGACACTGTCCGCCCTTCCCAAGCTTTAGATACCACACCACGCCCCGCACATTGACGGAACGACAACAGTTGTCGGCCAGCCTTTTCGCGCTAAGATGGCTTTGATATTTGAATACAGTTTTAATTTTTTCATTACGAAACTTGTACTTTAATATATCATCATCGTACATTTATAATGGTCGTGAATATGCTCTGTACGGGTGTTTATCGTCATCTAACCGGGATAAAGAAAGGAGTTCCTTTCGTTTTCCGAAAGATGAAAGTTACTGTTTTCTTCATTAATTTCGTGCAGAGTAATACATAATACAGATTATATCGATATAAATACCTAATGAACATTGTGTAATTCTTAGAATTCTAGTAATAAAATTATAGATAACTGATTCGCGTTACAAACTTCGCTAAGTCTCCGCTCTTACCATGTAATAGATACGAGAATGTGATGGGTAACCCTGCCACTTCAGGCACACATTTGCGCGTGTGCAGATAGCGCTTTCGTGTTTGTAGTAGTAGTAGGTAAATAACTTTCGACTGTTGTATGGAGTGTCCGGGGTGTGGTAAGAGTTCTTTTTATTTTTATGATAATTCGGAACCGTTACATGCTCCTTGGTCACAGGCAATATTGGGAAAATACAAAGAACTCTTACCGTGGTAAGATACCTGTAATTAGTAATAACCATTCAGTGAATAACCACGAAGCCTTAAAATCAGTTAACGTTATTTATAGAAACCATATCCACCACCATGCAGCAAACACAATTGAAACAAGATTAACTTTATTTTGGTCATACATGCGACATCTCTACAAACACTTACACAAACGGTTGTTCGGTACCTATTTCGGTAACGTAATTGCTTAAAAAATAAAACGTGCATTTTTCTGTTACTGAACAACCACACCAATGAAAATATGTCATTAATATTTTTTTGCAATAAATCCGCCAAGTTGTTCTATAATACGCACATGCGAATTAAAACAAATGTTAAAAATGTATATGTAGGTGATTTCTTTGCGCAATGTGATTATTGTTGTGTTGGCGTGCCGAGCATGCAGTGATAGTATTAGAGACATACGGTCTAGCGGCGAGGCTGGTCAAAAGCACATCCCCCGCGGGCGTCCTTGACAAAACACGCTTTATTCACAAGGCGGCAAAGTCCATTATCGTTTGTTAACACTACTGCTTATTTCACACACGTAAGTCTAATTATAACTCCAATTTTTAATTATAATAACAAGGATTTTACAGCTAATATGACGCTACTATTATTTTGACAATCAAATTGGTAATAAGTAGAATCACAGTTAACTTCCATTGAGACGTCAATTCAAGAAAGAGAATAAAATATGACGTCTAAACATTAATTATAATCCGCTTAATTTTATTGTTATTCATTTACATAAATTATGTAATTAGACTTATGTGCCTTTATTACACAACTTTGATGCTTTTTTCATATTAAAATATTGCTTGAATATGAACAGCTACGCAAACAGACTACCGTTCAGACAAAAATTGTCTGTTCTATATTGTATTGCATCAAGTTGTGCACGTAGGGAAGAAAAAAGTAAAATTATTATTTACAACACGTGGTAAACATTCTGTTTTTTATTAAAAGTTATGTAAACACATGAGAAAGTAGCAAAAAAAATTTGAAAATTTAGTACTAAAGTAAAATTAGTAGGGGAAATACGTACAAAATGACATATATGGACAAAATGCATAGTTGGCATAATTTGAAATTGGTGGACTCTAGCACGCAACTGACAACTGCATCATTATGACCCAAGTGACTTTTACAAATCTGCCAAAACGCGAACTCACCCTCTCGTCCGTCCCAGCGTCGTCGCTGATGACAGGGGTTTTGTTCGTTACGAGTTTTTTCTTTACGACAAGTGTTTCTATATAAATGTTAAGTTTTTCGCTAATGCGCCTATTGTTGTTGCATTTATTTTATCCCACAATAGCTTGTTGTTTCCCTCAAATAAGTTTTTCAACAAAAAAAAAGTTGTGTGTTAGTTTTTAAATTTCCTTTTTTAAAACCGTTATATGGACAAAACGACATATATTTACACAACGGACACAACGACATAGGTATGCCTTATGCCTTAATTTAACCATTATAGTTTTCATTATAATAAAATTTATTATAACTTTCTTCAGCGCCAAAAGGACATTTCATTAGTGGACAAGGGAAACGTAAACCAAAGACTCGACAGATCCTTTTTGTTTTAACTGCTACTCGTAATATAGGGGAAATTCATGAGAAATTAAATCGAAAAATGAGCCCAAAGCTCCCCCAGCAAAGAATAGACTAAACGTCATTACAAGGTTGTTTGAAGATGACTGCGAAGAAGAAAATTTTCCTTGCAACTCTCGAGTTAACGAAGAAGACTGTCTTTGCATACATTGCAACGATCTGTTTTCTCGATCTAAGTCCGGAAAAGATTAGTTACGATGATGCTTAAATTGTTCGCGTTCGGCTCACGCTTCTTGCCCTGACGTTCCTAGACGGACAAAGCGTTTTATTTGTAACCTTTGTCAATAATTGTATAGTTTTCACGTGTTTGTCATTTTGTCCATTGTATATGGACAAAATGGTCTTTGATTTATCTCAGTTAAACTACGAATTATTTTTTTTCTGTTGTTTTTATTCTATAAATGTTTCTTACTTTCAGTAAATAATAAACCAAAGACTATTGGTGTAAAATATGACTGTGCTGTGTATTACCACTACAGAATTATGAATTATGACACTATAGAAAAAATAAAATCCTATGTCATTTTGTACGTATTTCCCCTACTTTTTGTAGACTTTTTCATTTGAAAGGGATTCATACTTCCCATGTGAAACTAAGTACTATCATAACTCAAAGTTGATGGAATTGAGAAAACACAATTTGAAACGATTTGATTGATTTGAAACGTAGAAACGATATTGAATGAATCTTATTGCGAACAATGGGATTATTTTTATTTATACATAATGATTATTTATCTACTTACAAACGCGAAAATATATTTATTTTGATATCTCAATTCCATAATTTTTTTATTACGACAGTATTTGATTTCATATGCGACTTATTGTCTTTGAAGTGATCAAAGGAATACTAAATTAAAAAATAAAGAGTTTCAGTGGTTTTCAGCAATCAGCAAAGAACTGTTAACGGTTTATTAAAACCAAATCGTAATAACTGAAAACATCTAAAACCGGTTAATTATTAATTACTTGATTAAAAGATAAAAAAAATATTAGAAACTTACGATTCTCCGGAAGCCTTGGCGTGATCTCGACCGCGCCCAGCTGGAAACATGTTTCACTCATTTAAAATTTAGCACGTGTACACACATAAATCCTGCATAATTGAAATATACTGGCTATTATGTGGCTACATTTCAGCTTGTAAAATGATAAATTTAGTTCTATATTTGTATTGGTATTTTCCATGAATTGCTTACCTTTTCAAGTACTCTACATAATAACAAAGACAAAAACAACTGATTTTAAAGCAGGCGACGTGACTTTAGGTCCATAGCTTTGATTTTTCACGTTAATGATCATTGTCGTTTATATGTATAAGAAATGCAGTTCTTTGACGAACTTGTCTATGGCTTAAATTTATCTTCCTAACCTTAAAATTGAGGTTAAAATCAACGCCGTCATATTAAGGCAAAATTTACATTGCCGCGGACCGGAGTAAAAGCGATTTTTTCTAACACAATAGCGTAATAAACTTTATGTCAATTGTGTAACGAACAAACTATAATTGTATGTCTTTTTTGAAGATCCAGTGCGAGTAAAATGATCCTCAATTGCGCAAAAGTGTTGCCCGCCGGCGAGCAGCTAGAGATTTCAGTCGTCAAATATTGTATCGCCTATCAACCGAATGTTGGTTCCGCTTTTGCAATAAATAGATTTTTTTAATTTGAATCATCATCGGCCCATTATTCGTCCAACTGTTGGGCACAGCTTTACTTGGATTGTCAGTTTTTGTAAGTTCATACATACAACCACTGCGTTTGGGACTATGTCTTTTAAAAATACAAAGAAGATACATATTTTAAAGGTATTCATTTTAATACAATATAGATAATCAAATTCGTGTTCATTAAAATGTGTATGAATAAAAATTTATTTCGATACTAGTAGGGCAACTGTCAAAATGAGAATAAAGAAGGCAATAACGCAGTTTTTGGCAAAATTTTAAATTCTTTCACAATCTATCGATAAAACTGTCGACAACAACTAAATGACTATTTAAAATTTTATGAAAACTGGTATCCCTACAAATATCATCTTCAAAAAAGACAGACTATAGATACGAGGTAAAAAATCTCGCGCAGTGTCAGGAATTCTCGAAGCTACTGTATCGTTATCTAATTTGTACGTTACACAATTGACATTACGGCTATGTACGAGAACAATTTGCAAAAATTAGAATATCGAAATTTTCGTCTACAATTTATTACCTAGTGGGACATTCTAAATAAAACCAATTATTTATCTTATTGTAATAAATACCTTTATATTGGTGTAACGTTAAACATCAGTAAGTATAATATCCATATAGCCATATCATGACAGCGACTTTTCCTTCCTGCACTTTTAGCAAATATATTAATTTAGATAAAACGACTCCCTCTATTATGTTTTTTACGATTACTCCTATACAATTTTTTTTAAAGAAACCTTACCTAGATCTCTTATTTCAGTTCTATAGGTACTGTAAGAAAACAATCCAATTTCTAATTTATTTATCGAGAATGTTAAATAATATTGAGCCCGTGATATAAAAAAGGAAGAAAGTGGAAGTGCATAATCGGCAGTGTTGTACAATAATTGACGTTAATCTATGTTAAGTTAACCACAGTTCCATCATTCCACGCGGCACTCACAAATGACTAAACCATATTTTGCAAATTCGAATTTGACATACAAACGGTTGTTGTAAGAAAAAATATTTAAAATAATCTTGTAACTTTACTGATTATTGTAGCAATTGTTGTTAATAGTGCCCAACTTGGCATGTGCACTGTTGTGTGATAATTTCTGTTCAGTAATTCGCTACGCCGCGTGGTTGAGTAATGTAAACAGATGTCTAAAGAGCTAAACTAAATTGGTACAAAAATAAATCTTAGCTTTCGAAATATAAAATACTAAAAAATCACATTGTCGGTGACTTACCGTTAAACTTAAATGACAAATATGTCCTTTTAATAGTAAAATAAAAACTATGTTTTATACAAAAAATGTCACAAACTCACGATTTTTTCACTGTCTTCTTTTTAAAAGTACAAAGTACATAATGTTTTGCAAAAATTCAAAATAATGAAAGTACCTAGCAATCTTCTATCCACATACTATGAAAGAAATCTAAAAATAACTGTTATTTATTAACTATAACACGAAAAAATCGTGGAATATATCTTTTTCTCTTAAAACAAAAAGTTGTCAATGTACCGGAAATAATAAACCTACTTAATTAACTAAAAAATACATAAGAAACTAAGATTTTTAAGTTTTAAATACATTACATAGGCAATACTTAATACGTTGTATATACAAAATAATATTAATATGGTGGTCTGAACACATTATGAACTAACACATAATGTAGCTAAGTTATGTACTTATGATATACTTAAAAGTAGACGAAGAGCGAATTCATAAAAACGTATGGGGTAGTTGAGAAAGAGGTTGACGCTCATTCAGAGATGAGAATGGGCCTCGGGCGCGCGACCACAAATGCGACCACATCGAATCAGTTTTAAAATCGCTTTGTCTTTTACACGTGGAAAACTGCCTTTGCGTTTTTTAAACCGACTTCAATAAAACGAGGTTCTCAATTCGACTGTTTGTTTTGTGTGTATGTTACGCAATTTTTCCAATATTTGTGAACTCAACTGCCTCCGTGGCCGAACGGTTACCATGTCGGACTGCCACGCAGAGGTCCCAGGTTCGATTCCCGGGCCGGGAGAAATATTTGTATGGCCTACAATTATTTCTCTCGTGAGTTTGGGTGTAATTTGTGGTTGTCTATATGTGTGTCCATGGCACCCGCGACACAGGGTTTCCCTAGTGCGGGGCTATGTTGAGTGTGTGCGTTATTATTATTATTATTATTAATATTTGTGAACCGATTTCGATGATTACTTTATCGTTACAAAGAGGGTACCTCAGTAGTGGTCACATTCAAATTTGAAAATAATATTGCCACCAGGGATGAATCCTTTATTGGATTTCACCCACTTTCCGTTATCGATTTCAATAAAACTTGGCAAATAAATGTAATTCCACAAACATTTGAGGTCGGTTTTTTTTTTTATAAAAATGTATTAATTATTATGTAGAATGGACGAACTGATATCAAGCGACACAATGTGGCCGACGATGTTATGCGGTTGTCTAGTAAATTACTCAATTTACAACCATAGCATAACGAGCTTATGCAAAATGTGTAGCATTCAATCTTCTTCTTTCAGAGATTCCGGAGATTTCTCGCTGAATCTTGGGAATTCCCGAAACTACCGGATCGTGTACGCTACACAATTGACATAAAGTCATTAAGCTACGATTACAAAAATCCGTTTCCGATCCACAGTAGAATTAATAAGTAAATTGAGGCTATAATTAGCTGTCAGAAAACAGTGAGTTGTTTCACCGGTTTATTTGATTTTGTGTTGAGATCCAGTAAAGACGTAAATCGGGAATCGATTAAAGTAGAAAAGGTTCGCACAAACATTTTTTAAAAACTAACTAAAAGTCACTTACTTAAGGAATAGCCGCAAATCGCGCATTCCAATTTATTTTTATTCACTCATAGGCGCAATTTATTCAGACGAGAAACTTGAGGCGTCGGCGAGACACGGCCGCTGTCGACGTCATAACTTTTCAAATGCCACGCGCGATGTCAATGACGAAGTGTTTGCACACTTTTTAACTTCCCAGTTTCTACAGAGAAGAAATGGTGTGCGAGAAGCAACGGAACAACCTCGTTCGGCCTATCCGGCCATTCATCAAGACGTAATTAACGCTTCGCCAATATCAGTCTTATTTTCTGTACAAAATGCGCACAAGAGCCGTGTGTAAAAAAAGCTAAAAAGTTGTAAAAAGTGATATTTACAAAATTCATAAAAAGTATTGGTAAAGTAATATGTTGCTGGCACTTATACAAATCGATTTAAACATTGTGATTTATTCAATATTACAATATTTTTTTCAATAATATCTTAAAAATGGACAACGATTATTAAATTATGTAGTTTAACTATTAATTATTTTTTTATTTATAAATGCCTGTGATTAAATTCTCTTATTCGTTGTGACTATCGAAGACAAAACGCGGATATTCTGCCTACCCATAAAGTGAAGTCGTATTACATGTTACTTGTGTATACAACAAGATTCTTAATTCAATTTAACCCTAAGTATACTTACTAAGAGTCGATTTCGTAAAAAATTCGAGCAATTTGTAAATGCTTTAATAAGTGCGTTTATTTTCATTTGAATACGAGACAAAAATGTTTGAATTTTCCGACGACTTCGACTTCACACGTTACAAAATGGTGGACAACAAGAGAATGACTTACCTAAAAGAAATGACAGGTGATTCTAACATTTAAATTCTTATACATCTTTACCTATTTAAAAGCATTTCGATTTATGTTAACATCGTTTAAGTAAAAATCTTTAATTTTTAATTATTTATGTCGCTTTTCCGTTGCGTTATTACATTATGTGCTAAGTAGGAATAGAAACACGTTAATAAGTAACAATTATTTCACGATAAACAGATCTGGCACAAAACAAAAATAAACAAAACTTATAAAGTTCAAAGCGTCTTCTACCTAATATTAAAACTGTCACTCCGAGAGTATTCCGAGATCATTTTATTAATGTTCCGAGATTCGTTTGTTCTCCAACTTTTGCATAACCTAACCAAAGCGTAGGTTTTTAGGCGAGTCCTCGCATTTCATTCTTTCAGAAAAAACTTACAAAAGTAAAAGGTTCGTAGACCATAGGTTCGAACATAGAAATTTGGTTAATTCTATTTCGGTGCAAGGTAGTGCACCGCCAAGTTTTAATAAACCCTCTTAGACTTCCAGAACTCTCTTCATAAAGGCGCAACAGCCAAAAGGATCTGATCATTCGCGCTGCATCCGATTTAATTTACGATGATTCCTTCAGGTTGCCGGATAGTCAAGCGGACTTGGAATATGCATGCGTATATCCGCCGGTAAGCTCTAACGGACGATGAGGATCAGTTTCTTTCGTCTGTTTACGCCAAGATTATTACTTTTCCTAGATCTCGGGGTGACAGTACGACGTGGGACTTAGACGGCAGTGTCTGGTTTTTTCTCCGGATGCTTCCCGTTGCTGATGTATTCGTGGTCGTGGGAAGGGTTCTCGGCGCCCTTGATGTCGTCGTGCGGGGGCAGCGGCGCCTCAGAGTCCGCGCCGTCCGGAATGTCCGTGTGATGCGACCGCCCTGCCACATACCAACACGTTAAGCGACCAAGAACTTTTACACTTTACTTTTTTGTATTCCATCAAAACTAAAAATGAGAACTCCTTTTTTCTGTGCATCCTATTTAGTTAGAAGCGTGTATTTGTTGTTTTAGTGCCTAAATACATTTTCATGTGCTCGAGTTTTTTTTTAATAAAGCGTTTTCGTGAGTTTCCTAAGATACTGCGTTTGGTGTTATTTCGGCTTATGTTCACTACAACCATACATCAAGATATTTTTTATTGTGTTATATTTTAGCTGGAGCGTGACAGCACACGTGCCAAACGAAATTATTGGTAATTTTTTTGCTTTCATTAAAATATTAATGTTTTGGTACCAAAATATTTTAAGCTTCGTTGCAAACTTAGTGTCAACTACAAGCTTTTTTCATTTTCATCTCGAGCTGGTTGAATCAAACTTGTTTTTCTCAAGTAACTATTTCTAATAACCTGTTTTATCCCCGACTTCCGTAAAGTTGTTTACTACTTTCACTATAAAGTAAGATTTAGTTGAACTGTACTCCGCTGGCGTTCGGCCAACATGGATAGTTCCCCGATCTCTGCTTTGCATAACACCAAGTCTTGGTTCACTTCCAACACTGGCGTCAAAAACTTTAACGATATACAAGATATATAGGTGTTGAATTTTACTTAAAAGCACGGCAGTGACCGCAGCCAAGTTCTTTATAATTTATATTGAGTCTATTATGATAATTTGGAGTTTAAAATGGCAAACATACCTTTTTTATATATTTGATATTTTGGCACAGATGAACAAATTTGGTTATTGATTAGTACACAATTGGATTCTATTTAATGTTTTAGTACCATCCACCAGAGAATATTTAAGATTGAAACTGGATGAACTTGGGTAGACTACAGAGAATAAATTCTACTTTAAAGGCAATAAGATTACAGAGTCCATATGAAGTTACACCATCACCAAGTTAAAATTATACAATGACGTATATTTGAAATGGGAATGGTAATTCCAACTATTACCCATACAGTTTTAACAGTTTTAATTGTCATTAACATTAATCGTAGAAACCAATGAAAGAGTATAAAATTGTAATAGCAATAAATTCATGCAAGACATTGAAGTAAAAGATCGAAAAATTCATGCGAAGATTAATATTTTAATCTTTCATAAAGAAAAAGAGTAGAAAAGACACAGACAGATAGATAACATCACAACGAAACATGCGCCAAAAAACGGCCAAGTTTAGTAAAACAGGTCATGCATTTTTTTGTTAAGAAACATTTTTTTCTGTTCTTGATCGCTCAAAATATTGTTACGTAGCACAGCCACATATTTATTACTTAAATTATATAATTCAATTTTTCAAACAATTATTTATAATAATAAAACTAAACTAAACACTGTAATTTATAAGCGACGTCAAAAAACACTGCCAAGTAGCACAATTTATTAAACTACTGAAATAAAAAGTCACTACTTTAATAAAATGATTTTTTAATAAAAAAAAGGCATTTCTTTTGTTAAAAGGTGCGAGCCTCAAAGGTGTGAATGTAGTGTGTTTTTTTACTACCTATTATTTGAACTTTACCTATCGACCGACAGCTCGCGAGCCTGTTCCAGATAATTCCATTAATACTTCTTTCATACTTAACAGAAAATTTATAAAACATCTTCAAATGGCAGGATCATTATTGGCATGCCTAAGTACTCAAAAAGGTAAAGCGTAAACTGAAGCTGGTAAATGCATATTAAGGATAATTTAGCAAAATTATCGACACAACTTTTCTTTCAACCATTGTGAACATTTGTATAAATGCATTGATTTTTGGAATGTGTCGTGTCGATATTTTACTTTTTTTTAAATAAATGAATCTTGTTTGATGCAACAGTTTTACAGGCGAGGAGCCGAATTCGATAAATATATTTTTTTAAATATTAGATACACAAATAGATACACAAAAATTAATATTTCAGCATTCTTAAAATTTTGATGAAACTATAATTTAGTAAGAAACTGCAACAATTGCTGATTTAAAAAGAGTCCCTATTGTCAAACAAGATTCAAAAACATAAAAATCGGGGTCCTTAAGTACCAATCATAATCAATAAGTACGATATCATGGGACTGACCTGCGAAGCACCACCGGTCGGTGGCCTTGGCGAACACGACGAGGAAGACGGCCACCAGCAACGCCAGCACGCCAACCACGATGCCCACGATCGCTCCCGTGTCCAACTCCACGCCTGACACCGTCACAGACATATGTTATCTCACTGTGATCCATTTGTCAATCTTTCTAGGTAGCGTAAAAAGGTGCTAATAGTACTTTGGGATAATAGACGAACGTACGTGAGTTTGAACAATTTAATTCTCCATTCGATTTTTCATACATTTTGTTCTGCTTATAGCTGTGTAACAAAATTCAAAGTGAATGTGGGTAGGACAAAATGGTCAAGTGTGTTGCCTTCATTATTAATTAAAAACTAATATTGGCAGGCATTGAAATAATTCGGTGCTAAATAGAAACCTAATATTTTAAACATAAAGCTTAAAGTTTAAACCTTTAGGTTTCCGGTGCCCGTGTCAACCTTGGCAGTATATTTCAAGTATTTGTGCCAATAGTACCTAGCGCCAAATGAAAACTGTGCTGCATTAATCAGTGAATTGTCACAATCACCGCTAGTGTACAATAAGTGTAAGGATACAAATCTAAGATATTAATGTGGTGTAGTGCGATATGATTTTCAAGTATACTAAAAACATTGTTACCAAATATCACAAAACCTGACAGACGGTCCGCAAAATTAAAACACAAACAAAAACATCATTAAGTCTATTGAACTACACATTCCGATTTCGTGTTAGCCTCAATTCATTTCAACTAACAGCTACTTAAACGGAAGAGACATCAGAGACGGTGACATGGTACGAAATAAATTATTATTTATGCACTTAATAAGGGGTCACAAGCTCTGGTACTACACCACAACAGCTACAATCCTTACTACCTTTGTCATGGTAGTAGAAAAATATAAGAATTATAATTATTTCCCTTAAGAAGAATTTAATAACGTCCGGTCTTCCTCTCACGTCTCTTCAGTGTAAATTTTGCTATAGCACTAACTACCATCCATTATTTTTATTTCTAACTACTTATGTAACTAAATCACAACTCACTAACTACTCATGCGATAACTTTTTCAACAATCCTACCAGATCGCTGAGGCCCGGCTGTACGAAAAAAACATGCCAAATGGAATTGAAACAGATTAATAAAAAACTTTTTTTCTTACACAAAACATTCAAAGAATTATAAAAGAAGTAGGCGAGCTCTTGGGCTATCATTCCACTAAAACTACATTCAAAGTCGCACAATTTTCGAAAAATTATTACTATTCTACAACGACCAATACAGAAGCCAGGTCACATATGAGAAATTGGAGTGTTGAATAATCTAATGTGACATGGCTCTTAAATATAAACATTACAATGAAAATATTTCTAAAAACACTAGACTTCAAACTGGCATGGTTAAATTGAGAGCATAACACGATAATTAGTAAAAACATGTCACGAGCTCTTGGACTACAAATCCCTTACCATAGACATCAATAACCAAGAATGAGGACTTCGCTTTTCGCGCTGTTGGACAATAATTAATTCGGTTAAAAAAAGGTTGTAAGTATGTCACATCTTGTTTGCATACAAAAGTTTTTTGCATGAATGTCTCTAAAGCTTTTTTTTCTACTAACGCACTAATGTAATGTATCCTCATTTGTGTCAATATAAGGTTGTATAATAAACTTTTATATTTTTTAATTTGCGTAAACATAAAATTACCATTACTTGCAAACATTGTACGTATGTCCATACTCAATACTATGATATTATTATAATCATAATACATTTTATATTACGTTTTTATATTTACACATTAGAGAGTAAAAATATTTTTTTAAATATATAAATAACGAGCCCTATACCCACGGGGTCGGGCACGGCCTGTGGCGCGTGTTTAGGTTCAGGTTGCGGGGTGTGCTTATGCTCTTCGGTGGCGTAGCGATTAGTGTTATGGGCGCTTATGAGGAGGTTCCAGATTCGATTTCCGATTTGAGCCAATTTATAATTTATGAAACAAATATTTTTAAGTTGGTTCTGGTCAGGGTATTCTGGGTATTGCCCTCAGAGTTATCGTTACTCTGGTACTCATAGTACAGGAAATTCCTTGGTTTGGGATGTGTTAAACAACCATACCTATCACCTGATCTCATTGTGTGTGGGAAGTTCTAGTTAATTTAATTCTAATCTAAGTTCGAGGCACCCAGCGCAAAACCAATGTCTTTTTAAGCGTAATATCAAATACGCGTATCTTGGTACGTGAGAGATTTCAGCAAGTCATACTTAAAGTGGCACTGTTTAAGTCTACGTGGCTTAAATAAAAAAAATTGCTATCGAAATTAGTTAGAGGGCACTACATTTGAAGATATCCTAAAAACAGATTGGATCCGAGTTTATAATTTAATTAACATAATTTGTACCCATAAATATACGTGCAATGCACTACATGACTAATTAATCCTTATATAAACAATCTATGCATACATAATAAATATATAACAATGTCAGACTAATGGGATGCTCATGGAAACTCCAACATGAAATTGCGACCTTATTGCATGGCCATAAATAATATAAAAAAATACTGACGTGACATACCAACCGACTAACTCAAAAACATTGGATTAGAAAACAATTATTCCACATGTTATTAATTGCGAACTAATTCATATCATATTATAAAGATATCTAATAATATCTACTTGTTAACCAACTTAAAAAAGGAGATTTTCAAATCAACTATTTTTTTTCCGACATTTGTGAACCGATTTCGAGTTCCTTTTTTTTTTGAAAGGGAGTACCTCAGTAGTGGGTCCATTGAAATTTTAAAAGAACATATTTAACCTCCAAGAGTGGCAAATTAGGGGTTCAATCCGGTTTATTGGATTCCACCCACTTTCCGTCAATCAATTTCAATAAAACTTGGCAAAAAGAAGTAATTCCACTAACTTTTGAAGTCGGTTTTTTATTTAATATATTATTATTTTTTTATAATTATTTTCCCATCCCATCTGTTAATACTCAAGCTTATAACTACGTGCTTCCGTTCACCCGTGGTCTACAACCACCAACCCGTGACCACTAGAGATCACTTATGGTGATTACCAAATGATCACCAATAATGACCATTTCATGGTTCCTGTCACACCGTCACGTTACGTTGCATTGAGCTGAATTTATATATTCAACTACACATATTGGTAAATAAATAAGTTAACGGGTGCTAAATTTTGATGTGAAACTTGTTTAAGATTTATTACTTTGTATCCTAAAGAAACAGAGATCATTCTGTAAAGTATAAATAATAAAGCGATCAACGTTTCACCGCAAATTCATGATGTGCAATAATTGTACAACAAGTGCATAAAACGCGTCATTGCACCCGAGACGAGTGGTAAAATTGGTTTTATGAACGAGTTATACACTCTGCTTTTCACTTCGATTGCGAGGAAATTACACAGCAATATTACAAATAAACGATTATTTAATTAAAATTGAATGTAAAATTACAACGATTAGTCATATTTAACGTGATGGTTTTTTATTTTATGCACTAGAGCATAAAATCCTATTTTAAGCAGCCTACATAACAGCATAAATACGAACTTTAAAAGCATGAGAAGTGAAAAGAATATTGCATTCGTTCATTAATTTCATTCATTCATTCATTTCATTAATTGAAATCCAAATAATATATTTATTTCACAGGTAAGCAAATTATATTTGAAATCGTCACAATGATTATTAGATTCGGGCGTTACTTGCGGAAGACCGTGTTATGTTATGTTAATATTAGAAATAAATTGCTTCTTCAAACAATCAATTAAACTTTAATAATAAAAAATAAACTCTAGTCGTAAAAAATATTCTCTTGAGAGAAGAACGAGTAACAAATTGTAGTAGTTGCTGTTTGCAAACAGATGTTATTATCGAGTTCTTAGGTTTTCGCGATTGTTACACATAGGAAATGGAACTATTTTTCCGGGTTTAAATCGCGTATATTTGTTTTTTCAAACAAACCGACGTTTCGGGCCCTTTACAGGTCCCATGGTCACGGTTGACTGAGATGTTATTAGTTCAAATTAATCATTAACAAAATTCGAAGCAACCTCCATGACCTAAACGGGTTACTACCACGGATTTTTATTATCCAAGTACGCAGAAGTTGTATAATATAACCTTTAGTGTAAAGTTTTTGTTTCACTATAGTTTTAAACCTCGTGAATGGCAAATTTTGTATGTCAACCGGAATCTTGTTCTAGAAGCGTATACATTGCCCCTTAAATGATTTGTGACTTTGTGAAGACGACTATAAAGACCAGCTAGTTTATTTTTAATCGACTTTAAGAAAGGAGGAGGTTCTCAGGCCGACTGTATTTCTTTATATGTTTGTTACGCAATAATTTGTGAACCGATTTTGATGATTATTTTGCTGGAAAGAGGTTACCTCAGTATTGTACCATTTCAATTTGAAGAAAATATTCCATCTCTAAGGGGATGAATCCGGTTTCGCGCACTTTCCGGTAACCGATTTCAATAAAACTTGTCAAGTAGATGTAATTCCACGAACTTTTGAGGTCGGTTTTTTTAGTACTCTGTTCGGAGATTATTACAGATTATTACAGTGACGTTAATGTCAGAATGTTAATCGAGATCACGACACACTTTTGTTGGTTAACAGACACCACTTGTCATCGACGGTGGTAGGTGGCGATAAGGTACTCACCCGCAGGCTCATCCATGGTGCTTATACGAACTGCGACCTCCTCTCGTCCCAGATCGTTCACCGCTCGGAGGAAGTACGTCCTCTCGACATCCTCTTTCGCCACTCGAGCTAAGATCAGTGTCAGGTTGTAGAAGCCGTTGCCCTGCGTGATAACACACCATTGTGAATACAAATTCATGGAATGTTTATGTGAAATGGAAATTCCCAGGACCATTGACGTAGCTTTCAACGTCAGCCAAGTCTGTGATCCGCGGCGACACGGCAATCGAAACTAGAAATATATTAAATTAATCAAGTATGATGTCAATTCAATGTCGTAAAATATTGTTGTCACCTTTTAATCTGATAGAGAATTAAATTCAATCTTATTGTAGGAAAAATCGGGAACAATGTGTTGCCAATTATCATTCCAACTGTATTCTATGTCGGTTTCGGCTTGAGAATAGAGTTGTTGCAGTTTGACTTGAGAATAGAGCTGCCTCTGTAGCCGAATTGCCACGCAGAGGTCCCAGGGTCGATTCCCGGGACGAGTGAAATATTCCTATGGCCTACATTTATTTCTCCCGTGAGTTTGGGTGTAATTTGTGATTGTTTATGTGGGTGTCCATGGCACCCGCGACACAGGGTTTCCCTAGTGCGGGGCTATGTTGAGTGTGTGCGCTGTTATTATTATTATAGTTTTAAACGTTTTGCAACAAGCCCGGGCAGTATTTGAATCACTTATAAATGGAATACATATTTTCGTATTCCAATTACTAAACTACAGGCACATGCGACTTGTCAAGTTATGTCTCAGGGCGGTTCGTGCAGTGGCGCAGTGCGCACAAGATCTTTGATCTAAAGGTCTGATTGTAACTGCACAACTGTTATGGAACTGCACAACTTTTGTGGAAGGGCGTGAGTGTTATTTCCTTCACATGGTATTATATAAACAAATCTAAAATATAATTTTAACTCCGATGCAAAAGAGAGGAGCAATAAGTTTGAAGCCTTTGTCGTGACACCGCAGCTCCCAAACGGATATAGTGATCTAAAAGCGGTTTTTTTTATTCGTGGTTAACCATGTTTGATATGTCTCTTTCCTGTTAGTATCTCTATAATCCAGTCATAAATGAAAGTATATATTTGATCCAATTTTGGTATATAATGGCCATTCTCATATTCGGTGTTCTCAGCCTAGTTACCGTAGCCATTGTTTTTTCTCGCTTAATACACCCAATAATATTGAAACATGAACAACTTTAAGATTTTTAAGAGTTTAGCTGAAAGTTGTTCATATTTCAATGTTATTGGGTATATTAAGCGAGAAAAAAAACAATGGTTACGGTAATTAGGCTGAGAACACCGAATGTGAGAATGGCCAATAATGGAGATCCGATAACATTACAGTAATATTTACATAATATACAATAACATCTCGTGTTTGGGCTCATTGAAATGTTTTTGACGAGTTATGTGCTTACCTTGCCTAAGCGGTGCCTTTATTGATTTTTTGAAGTACGCTGTTTTGTATCGGAGTTTTTTCAGTTGGTATTTTGCCCAGCTCTGGTTATCAACACCATAAAGAAAGAACCCAATACATGTAACGGCTCTCCTCGAGAGCCAATAAGTGAAAGAGGTTGGCTAGCCTCTGGGAATCTGATATCGACGCGAGATGTCTTACCAAGGGCACAGGCGGCATGGCGGTGATGGTGCCATCACCGTTCTGATTCGGCGCGACCAGCACCTGGTCCCCCACGGTCCACTCCACGCTCGGCGGTGGGTTGGAGCGCACGGTCACGTTGAGTCGGCCCTGGTCGCCGATCTTCAGGCCGAAGATTGTCAACTGATTGCCGTCAGCGTCCACGCGTTTCGGGGGGTCTGGAAACGAGTGATACAAAAAAATACTAAAATGCGGTTACATGAATGAAAAAACAAAAAACAAAACCAGACCTAATAACGGACCCTGTGGTAACCCACGCTTCACAAGATACTTATACTTGATGATTACACGTGATACTTGTTCGCATTATTTATTATTACATTAATTATTTGCCGATCATTTTGAGTTGGTACAATAAGGAAATTAATACGAATGTGCCAATGATAAATGAATAAACTAATATGATCAACGCAATGAAAAGCTTTCCAAAAATCCCTCAGTTTTAATTTATTACCTTGATATATCCTTGTACCCACTTACTTGAAGATGGTGCAAGATATAAATAACTATACTGAAAGAAAAGCGCAATAGCGAGCGAGTGTAGGAAAACTGACAATACCCACCGTGAAGGCTAACTAAGCCTCGAGTTCGGAAGTGGCAGTGCTTTTCTATGATATCAAGTAACGGCATGAACAAGTCATGCAGTGCGGCACCATTCCGAACTTTCAGTCACAAAGATTTAAGAGCACTGCCACTGCCCCCGTCAGACATAACGTTTACAAGTTGTATTTGACTAGTTTCACCAACACATCTCAAAATATGTATGGAAACATTACTTCTATATACAAACTCATTCACTAGGAGCTCGACTACACTTTTGATATCAATATTATTGTTTTAGAATAAATTAGTTATTAGAAATCCACCCCCTTTTAGGTTCTTAAATCAAAGAGGTCAGGCTTTATCCAGCTACTCACAGTGCACTTGCAGCTGCCTGGAAGCCTCCCTGTACTGCTCCAGCGCTTCATGCTCGCTGCGGCAGGTCAGTCTCCGTCCAGAGTCGTCGGCCCTCAGCACGCGGGTAACGTTTTGCCGCACGGTCACCAGGTCGCTAGTGGACTCGCCTTCCGTGCTTGGCTCGTGGAGTTCAGAGCCGAGGAGAGCTTCGTCGTCTGTCAAAATTGATACATAATAAATATCCGTAATATGGAGACAAAAATCACGGTTAGTGACCCGTTTAGGTCTTGTAGGTTGTCTCGATCGATGATACTTCAAATAAATATTGTAAATGATAAATGCGTACAAATGTTTATTATATATACATAAAGCAAACTCTAGCGCTTCTGTATCGGGCTTCTGTAGAAAAATTAAGGAAATAACATTGATATACTAGACAAACGGCAACGACGTCCATATAATTTAAAATTGTTCTATCATATATATACTCGTAGTTGTTAAAATTATTGATCAGTCATTGTTTCACTCAGTTATTACAATTATTTATCAGACATTATTATTGTGAATATTTTTTAAATTGTAATATATAACTTTATTAAAAGCACAAAGCAAATTTTGTAGAATCATTTTTTATTATAATTATATTCTCGTTTTTAATTAGTTTTATCATGGTGTCCTATAATTTTATTTCATGTTACTCTTGGTTTTAAATACTTAACTCTGTATGTTACCTCCTCTTAGGCTCCAACTGAAAATCAGCGCTGAGGCTCTGCCCAGCTTAAAGCTGCGCTGACTAACCTTTTCGACTATTTTAGTTTTTAATCTATTAATAATCTTCGTTTTTTGTTTTTTAAAAGATCATACGTTAGTTATTATGACCCAATATTATTTGTGAACAGCCGAATAAATGTTTTCTTTCTAGAGTGTTTTACTCATTCTACTCAGGGGAATCTGCCTTACGAATGAATAGTAGAATGTAATCAATGTGCTGATGTCCAGTGTAATTTGTTTACCGATCAAATAAGATATATACATAATTGAACGTGAGTCTGAGTTTGTAGAGATGCTAGTGGACGATTGAAGAAGACGACCCAAGAATTATTTTTGGCCACTCGTTTCGGGTCGTACTCATTATTTATTTATTTATTTGCTTAAAACTTTACACCTCCCATTACAGTCATAGTCAATGCGGCAGTGTTATGCATTCTTATGTAGATACTTATATTATTCATTAAAAATAAAGTAACAGTGTTATATGTAATGCACTCACTATAAATTATCAAACGACTTCAAAAAAAGGAGGATGTTCTCAATTCGACAGTATTTTTTTGTAAGTTTCGCGATAACTGTGAACCGATTTCGATAATTTTTTTTTTTTTGAAAGAGGCTATTTCCTTATTGGTCCCATTTAAATTTGAAGCAAATATTCCACTAGCAAACTAGGGGATGAATTCGGTTTCGCTTATTTTGCGCTAAACGATCTCAATAAAACTCGGCAAACATATGTATTTCCATGATATTTTGAGATCGGCTTTTTTTTATTAAAAAGTTGTAATTATTATAATATGAGTACATAGCAAATAACGTAGAGTGTTATTCTTATTATTGTTTTATTATATATTTGTTGTGTTGTATTATATAAACATTAACCCCACATACATACATACATACAGGAACATATAAGATCAATGGAGTACTTACCAAGGAACCACTTGATAGTCGCGGCTGGTCGGCCCCTGGCGACGACGCACTGCGCCTCGAAACGGTCGCCCTCGTGGAAGGTAGTTTGCTGGGGACCAATGAGGACCGGGAGCTCGGGGGCGTCTGCAATATGGCGTATCGTATTTCAGCATACTCACATCTTCGTAACAATTTTGAGAATAACAAGAAAATAAGTGTGTCAATGCGATTGAAAAGTTATGGAGCAATATTTCAATTTACTACGCAGTTAAGACTGTACGCTGTAATTCAATTATATATTTATTACTCAACAATGTATAAATAAATTGACTAATTGTCCAATGTCTTCACGAGTGTCGTTCCGTTTTTTCATTACACAGGACGGCTAAATAGCGAGTTAGAAATATATGGGAGGTAGTAATTATTTCATTAGATTGTGCTGAAGGAGACTCACGCGCTACGATGAGCCTCATCGTGGCCTGCAGCTCGATGCTGCCGCGCGGAGGTGGTATCATACAGGAGATATTCCCGTTCCATTCTTCCTTCACCCGACGTATGTGCATGCCGCACACGCCTTTCTGCGATACAATTAATGGAATAAAAATATGTATTTTAATAATAAACACTGAGAGAACTGAGAGAGCCCCAAAAGGAGGAAATATAATGTCGCATATCATTTACTTCACTATGTTTGAACAACATATATAAAATGGCGGCCACGACACCGTTTAAAGCTTAAAAATCCTGTTTTCTACGGGGTTTGTAGTCAGAATTAAAAACAACACGGTTAACCTTTATCTCAAAAACAACTTTAAAAAAGGAGGAGGTTCTCAATTCGACTGCATTTGTTTGTGTATGTTACGCTATTAGCTATTTGTGAATCGATTTTGATGTTTCTTTTTTTTTGGATAGAGGGTACCTCAGTATTGGTTCCATTTAAAGAACACAATATTTCACCACTAAAGGTGGGAAACTAGGGAATGAATCCGGTTTCGCGCAGTTTCCGTTAACCAACTGGTGAACCACTAGATGTAATTCCAATAAAAAAGCAAAAGCAAACTTTTGAGGTTATGTCACCCTGAGACGTAAGTTGGCAAGTCTCATGTGCCCGTAATTTCACCAGCACCTTTATTACCCTTGAAAACCGGAACGCAGTGCTCACATTACTGCTTGGCGGCAGAAATACACACGGTGGCTGTACCTCTCTGGACGAACTCTTTCACAGGGAGCTCTAGTGCTACATAAAATAAATGTTACGTTGGGCCCTCGTATATTACAGAAAAATAATGTGAGGCAATATAACATCATTGGGATTTCAATTTAAAGACTGTAGCCTGATATCTATTTAGAGAAAATGTATCCATCACTGGAACATAAAACGATTAGATATCTACTTACATCCAGTCCCGGCCCGTGGTAGATGACATCTCCATCCTGGTTACCTGGCCGTAGCAGGTACGAGGTCTGCCCCACTATCATCCTGCAACGTAACATTATTCTCATGAGTTTTGTGAGAAATGGGTCCTAATTTGAAAACCAGTTTTGGGAACGTATTAAGTTTTCCTTATGATGAGTTAATACTAGTGACCCTTTTCTTGTCACAGCTGACACCACAAAAAGTATTATATTTAATGTTTTTGTTTTCCTTTTCTGTTTTATTTTCATTTATGTTTGTGGTTTTGTTTTCTGAATATTCTACCTTATTCTTTAATTTTGCTGTTATTTTTATTTTTTATTAAGTTTGCCTCTAGAGGCCACACGGCTCGATGGATTTTGAGACATGAGGTGTCGTTAGATTTGTCTTGATTGTAGGAGTATCATAGGCCATAAAAAACAATAATCATAATAGAGAGTCAATAAATATTATATTTACATTAATAGTAAATCATTTCCTACGTGTAACAATCACGAAAAACTAAGAACTCGATAATATTTGTTCCTTCTTCTTCTAGATATTAAGTGAGTTTGTAACTCCGACGACTACACAACGCGATTCGCCGGATTACAAATAGAAATGTGATCCTGTAGTTATCCTTATGTGGCCTAAATTCAGGTAACTGTGTATTCCTTGGCAATCATAGCAAAATCTTTTTCTGAAAGGTCTACGTTGCAGGTTGCAGCAATGTATAGACTGATGATGAATCTAAAGGTACTCACCGACAAGCCTCGGCCTGGTAGTTAACTTTGCAGGTGACGATGAGGTCTTCGCCCACTCTCCGCACCGCCTGTTGCGGCGTTATGTCCACCACTTGACCTGCAACACGGACATTCAATAGGTTAAATCTCTGATACGAGCAGCTTTCGCTGGTATGTCTACACACACAGTATTGCAATTTATATAGTTTGTGTAGTTTTAGTTCACTTTTTTAGCACCAGTTTACTCTTTCGTGGCCAGTTGTCCAGCTTGTTTTTGTAGGCATTAACAGAGACAGCAGAAACAACATCTTCCGATAGCATGTTAGAAATATGCACCACTTTGTTGCTGAAAAAAATGTGTGCAGCAGGAGTTTTGGAAGGTGCACAAACTAATTTCAGATGGTGGCCCCGTGATGGTTTAAAGTTCTCTTTTCTTTTGAAGATGTTTTTTATGTCTCATACCGTAATTATGCATTAGTCATTCTAGGCAGTTGATATGCCGTAGGCAAGTTAGGGTACGTAATCGACTTGCTCTGTTTGTTTTTGTTAAAAGGTTGATAATTTCGAATTGATCCCATATTATTCACATATCGCACCCCTCACGGAAGAATGGCATAAGTGGAGTTATGTTTCCAATTCTTGTAAAGTATCTGCAATATTAGTCGTTAGATTTACAAGAATTGAAGAGGATGTGGGTTATATTTTTCTGTATCTAATGGAGCAATAAACATGTTTGACGTAACTCCACTTATGCGTGAGGGATGCGATATTTGGTTTGTTAAAGATCGATATCATCTTAGAGTGGTTAAAAAGACCGAGATCTTCGACATGACATTTCAAAATTTATAAACTAAATATATTTGTGAGTGAATAGTAACGACAAAATACATATGCAACTTAAAACGTTCTGTATTTAAAAAGCATATATTTACGATTTTTGCGATACATACAAAATCTTGTTTTAATAGCTTGCACTTCCAACTCTCTCTAACCAGAGCAATCGCTAAGGAACGTGTCAAAGGTAATCACAAAAACAATTGGTTAGATTTTTCAAATTTTCAAGTTAAACGTTTTTATTCCTCGCGCATGCCATCACTTTCGAATTAGAATAAAAGGCAAAATTCTTTTCGGTTCCGCGTGTCTCGTCCGAGCTGCGCAAGCCGTGATTCGACGAGAGCAAATTAAACACGTGAGCGGAAATAATTCTTATTAGATCACAATGAAAAAATCCCACGCCGTTACCTATTCATGTCGTTGTGGGGATTAAAAGAAGACTTACTCAGTTAAAAGCATTCTGTTGCAAAAATTAGAATTATTAAAAAAAAACCTCAACAGCTTGTGGAATCACATCTATTTGCCAAGTTTTATTGAAATCCGTTAGCAAAAGTGTTAATATATAAGTAATTTGCCATTTTTAAAGATGGAATATTTTCTTCAAATTTGAGTCGGACCATTACTGAGGTACCCCCTTTCCAACAAAAAAAGAATAAGAAACAGTCGAATTCAGAACCTTCTTTTTTTTCTAGTTGGTTAGAGACAAACAATCCTTATTGGATCTGAAAAATTCCACGCCGTTCGTTACAGTCACGTTCGAGCCGTCGCGTCGTAAGGATTAAAAGAAGACTCACTCAATTAATTCATTCTGTTGCGAAAATTAGAAGAAAAATAAATTACAACATGTATAATTGTATAATTTCTCTTACTGTGACGTACTGGTCAAATCATATAATTAGTTGTTGGTGGTATTATTATCATTTATGGTAAATGATATAATAGTAACTTGCTACGTTTAATAAACAATTAATCAAGTAGCTGTCGGTCATTTTCATTACAGAGGTTCTACCAAATTTCAACTCTCATTCGAATCTCTCTGAAATCTTATTCGACGATTCCTAAATCCGTGTGGCGCTGTTTAGCGATAGAGAGCTTCGCCTTCCTTCACTTCGCTGCGCTTCGGTGCACTTCCAAAGCTGTCAAAGCGAATTCACCATTAAACACGTCTCGTCTGACCGCCCAGAGCCCAGAGCGTTACATCGACTTCACGAGCTCGCCTTGAAGTAAGCCACTTTGTTTTGTGAAAATGACGAACGCTATTCTAATGTGTTATAATACATTACGAAACAAATCAAACAAGTTTTAAAATGAATAATTATGGATTAATCAGTCTATTGCAGTCCATTGCGGGCCTGAGCTTGTCGCATCCATGTGCTTCCGGTAGCCTTTCAGGCCAGAGGTCACTGCGTAGCTACACTATGTTTTGCCATGCCGTGGTGTCCACTCTACAACTCATTTCCCCCATCGGTTATCGGTTCTTTGACAGAAATGGTTGGCCCACTGCCTCTTGAGCTGTATCAGCTATGTCAGCGTTGGTTCTCTATCGGATAACCTCATTTGGAATCTTATTCTTCAGAGAATCACCGAGCATAGCTCGTTCCATGGCTCGTTGAGCGATTTTTAATTGGTGAATTTGCCGAGTGTCCACGTCTCACATAACGGTTAGAACGCACTGATTGAAAACCTTTTCAAACTTTGTGGTATGGATGAACAGTGTTTTAAAATATAATTTAATGTTTTATCTAAATCCTTGTTTTAACTAGAACTCGAAATGTTAACTAACTGGACTTGAACATATACTTTGTCTAAACTCGCAATCTGCATAGTCGCTGAGCAGACGCCCGGATGGATTAGTGTGGTATGCTTTGAGGGTACAATACTCGATTCCGGAGCTAGCCGCCGCCGCCAGACAGCGACGTGCTCTTGGACACAAGGTATGTTGTAATAGAAATGCAGCTGCGTTGTGGTCAGCGGGTCTTAGGAGAACAACATCGTAAGAACAAATCTAGCTCTAAATACGCTGCTGAATTCCGCTGGAACGTGACTTGGTTAAGTGTCGATACTACCTTAGAAATCAAATTCAAATTTGTCCCGTATTGATACGGTTCATTTTACTTGGGTCGAGCGGAGGCGCTGGCGCTCGCTTCATCTCAAATATTATTTTTGTACAAACGAAATTAAGGCCCTTTTGAAAAATGTATATCGTATAATATACGTGTTCTATTTAGTTCAATTGATATAAAAAAATATCATCATAGGTAGATGAAAAGTACGTATTGAATACAGCGGTTTTCTTGTATAATTTCGAGGTAAGTTTGTATTTTTTTTCCACCGTGAAAATTGTCAGGAATCGTGTTTCCACACCGCATAGTTATCAGCGTATATCCCCAATTTTACTACAAATTTTCTCCAAAGTGATTTATTCAACACTTTCACTGTGTTGCGGATTCAACCAAAGCCATTTGAGGTTGTGTCGACTTTTAACACACATTAAAAAGTGCTGTATTTCTACGCAACTTTAATAATCACTATTCGTAATTCTGCCGCGTTTTTTCCGTCTCAACATTTCACGTTGTCATTGCTATTTTCCGATTTACAACTATCTTATTAAAAGGATCACGACCAGCATTGAGAGTATCGGTTGATAGATTCAAATCTGAAATCCTGTTCAGGAAGAAAACCTAAAAAAACTAAAAAGGACGAAAACAATACGTACAAAATGTTATATTCGTAAACGGACATAAATGTACCCGTAAAGAAGCAACGAGACTGTCTGTGTAAGATCGTTGCGAAAAAGTTTCAATAACCGTGGCGCGCGGGAGAATTTTCTATTTGTTCTGAGAACAAAATCAAATAAAAACAAAACCAGTTTGTTCGTTTGTTTACGCACTAGATTATTGCTTTTAGTTTATTGGTTTCATTTTTAGACTTTGCACGATCTTGTTTATAACACGACATTCTACATTTTAATATTTTAGGATCTATCTAATCGGTCCGTGCCGTGGTTGTTGGTCGTTTAGTTTATACCAGTGACAAGGACATCCGACCTCAAAAGTGAGTGAATCACATTTTTTGCCAAGTTTTATTGGAATCGATTAACATATATTTTTTTCTCACTCATGGGCCCCGCACTAGGAAAACCCTGTGTCGCTGGTGCCATGGACACACACATACATAACGACAAACTCACGAAAGAAATAAATGTAGGCCATACAAATATTTCTCCCGGCCCGGGAATCGAACCCGGGACCTCTGCATGGCAGTCCGGCATGGTAACCGTTCGGCCACGGAGGCAGTAAATGAATGGAAAGTGGGTACAATCGAATAAACCTCAGATGTGGAATATTTTCTTCAAATTTGACTAGAACCACGACTTAGGTACTCCCTTACCAACAAAAAAGGGTCAAAGAAATTGGTTCAAAAATGTCGGAGTAATCGCGTAACATACACAATAAAATGCAGTCGAATTGTGAACCCCCCTTTTTACGAAGTCGGTGAAAATGGAACATTATGCAGAATATGTCTCCCGTACAATAGCGTGTATTCCCACCATTACAATGTTTTCTGTAGCATTGTTTCCTAACATAAGCATAAAACGTCACTTTATAAGGAGGAGAGTTATAAGTTTGAAGATTTTGTCTGTCTGTACCTGTCTGCGACATCGTAGTTCAAAAACGACTGGTCTGATCATTACAAGAGTTTTTTTAATTTGAAGGCTAATATAATCGAGATAGATCTTAGTGATGTCTGGTGAGTATCTGTACAGCTGTTCATAGAAATAGGGAACGTTATAAACCAACAGTTAAATTTTAAAAAATAATAAAAAACTGTGATAAAAAAAAATAAGTCAGTCGATAGAGCACTATGGTTATTTTATTGGTAAAAAACGGGGCATAGAGATATATACAGAAACTACTACTTAAGTAAATTTAAAAGAGGAACTAATACAGAATTTAGCAGAAAAGACGCGCACACATGAAAATAAAACTCACTCAAACCAGTGTTAAATAGGACTGAGCGTTATTTTCCGAAAGCGTTTCAAGAAACGCTTTCTTTCAATGTAACGAGAACACGCTTTCATGTAGGTTCCAAAAACGGTTACTAAAGAAACGACATTTTAAGAAAACGAAACGGACTCGCACTGCAAGTTATGTATGTATGTAGTTATTTGTCTACGGCGTTACGTTCTGCAAACACGTTACGTTACTTGTGTGCGACTGGATAGTGAACAATTCACAGAACAGCGAACAGTTCATTCGTTCGTGATTCGTTCCAATCATGCGT